ATGCAGCTTCAGCAGAGCTTTCTTAATATTTATATTTAAAATAAACCCCATTATTAAACTCTACATTGGATCTCTTGATTAGTTTCCAAAATACATGAAACCACTAGATAATGGAAAAAATATGTAAATATTGTAATATCTTCTGTTCTTTAAATTTGAGATTTGACCAAAGTTACTTTCAGTGAGAAAATAAATACAAGGAATATTAAAATCATTTTTTTGGAATTAGTATTTGAATATTTAGGGGGAAAGGAACAAATCATAAAATGGAAAAATTATAGTTCTTGAAAGATCTACTATTTCAGTATTATTTTTATGTTGTTGCTATCTTGTTAGCTGATATTGACTTGGCCTCTAATTTGGCAATCTACTGGATTACAGAGTAGGACTAATCCACAGTGGGTTCTTTGCTATAACTTGGTGGTTTAGTCTATAGGAAATTGTTCTGTTAACTCAAAGGTGCTCCCTTTCTGGAGATTATAATCTATCATGATTTAATGGGAGAGAAATCTTTTGCTATGTAGCCTATGAAAACTTGCCAAAAGGTGAGCTGTGAGTTAGCTCTGCTTCCTTGACAGTGAGAAAGAGAATATTTACATTACAATAGGTGTTTTCTTATGCAGAATTATTGGATAGATCTGGTCTACCTTAAGGTACAAAACTATATGCAAACTACTTGTTTCCCAGACTATTATGCTATTAAATCTTAGTAAACTTAAATCAAGAGTTCTCAAGCAGGATATTGCTGGCCTAGTGGCAAGAAGCTGAGCTGAAATCCTGAAAGGATTTGGTTTAAAGCCACCAGCTGTTTCACAGGAGCAGAATGAGCAATCTCCTCCGATGCAATTAACTGCCTCTGAAAACCTACCAGAAGGTCAGCTGTGGATCTGTTAAGACTCGATGGTATACAACAGCAACACATATCAATGTGATCATTGCCTTATTACAAAAAAACTGTATCACAATGGTAAAAAATATATTTTTTCATCATTTTATGGTGCAATTTTAGTATAATTCCCTCTTTTATTTTGTTACTGAAAAGCAAAGTATAATGACTCGAAGGCACATAACAACAAACAACAACAACAATAGTTTCCATGATTAATGACCTCACTGTATATTTGTGAAACATACACAGATATTTGACACGATAAGCAAGTGTATATACTGTGGTTCAAATAACAAATTCCAATTAATTTAATAGAGTTTGAGATGTAGAAAACAATTCTTCATGCTGTTTGTCTTTCTTTGGCCCTAATAATGACAGTACTTCAATTTTATATTTATATTTCTGTAACATGGATTCATCTTTGAGCTTACTTTTTCATTCTTCCCATTTAATCTTCTATAATGCCTTTGTCCCAGCCACACTTCAGCAACCTCACTTAAGAATTTGAACTTTATTTGCCATTGGAGTCCAACCTCAAATTCTCTAAGTCAACCTAGGCTTCTGATTTCTAATTTCAACTGAGAATAACAATTCTAAAGAAAATGAGATAGATTCTCACCAAGATTTGGTATCAAATGGGATATCCACAATTACGAACATTTACATTTCCTGTGCTGGCTTTCTCTTTTCATATCTCAATAGTTTACTTTATCTGCTTCAACTAAGTATTTCTTTATTATCTTGGTCAAAAAATGGTTTCTTAGTCTTGGCATTTTCACTCTAATGACAGTTTAAGCTATATGATTATTTTTATACTGTGATGCAGATTCTTGTTCATTATATGATATTTAGTAGTATTCCTGGCACCTAGCCACTAGACATCAATATCAACTTCTCATACACACAAGTACATTCACAAGCAACTTTTGATAACCAAAATGTCTAGAGATATTGACAAGTGTCTTTTGAGTGAAAGAGTAAACACCAAAATCAAACAAAATGCAAGGTAGAACCACTGTTTTAGAAAATATTAAAGAAAAATAGAAAATGTCACACATAGAACAATCTCTAGGCAAGTTGACCTCAACCTTCACTTTGTGACAGAGGTACCTAATTGGTGGGTAGTTTCTCTAGGAAGTCTAGGGGGGAGATCTCAGAAACCACAAGAAGAGTGGCTAATGGGGCCCCCAAGAAATCTCTGGGAAGTTTTAAGCTTCCTTCTTACCTTTTTTGTTCTGCAAATGAAATCTCCAAGTAGGCTATATGGTGATACTTATACTAATAGGTTGTCCTGGGATGATTCACTGAGTGAAGTATTACATTATTTAAAGCCCTTGACATTTGAATTCGTTGGATTTTGAACTCATACAAAGAGATATGCTACACTATAAAAGGTAGCGTAGAGGCAAGAAGCAGTGCTGAAATCCTGAAGGCATGCAGTTTGAGGCCACCAGCTGCTCTGCGGGAGAAGGATGGACAATCTCCTCCTATGTAATTAACTGTCTCTGAAAAGCTGCTGAAAGATCAACTATGGATCAGTTCAGACTTAAAAGCACAACAACAACATGCTATCAAAAATAAAGGTGGTCATACTTTGCAGTTAGATTAAAACCGAAAGAGAGAAAGGTAAATGTAATTACATGGTACAGTCACTATGTCAATCCATCTCATTGAGAATCTTCCTCTCCTTTGCTCACCTCTTACTTTCAAAGCATAATGTGTCTCTCCAAGGAATAATACATGCTCAAACTATGTGCCACCAAACTTTGAAATCTTTGCCTCCAAGGAGCATTCTGGCTGCACTTTTTCTAAGATATAACTGTGTGTTCTTTTGGCAGTCTATGGGCTATTCGGTACTCTTCTCCAAGACCAGAGCTCAAAGAAATAAATTCTTTTTCTTTCATCTTTACTCATTGTTCAGCACTCAGATATATAGAAAATGATGGAAAAGATTACAGTCTGAATCATGTGTTCCTTAGTCCTCAAGCTAACATCATTTCTCCTCAGTTATTTGGAAAAGTTCTTGACTTTCTCAATGTAATACTTTTCCTGATCTCTTAACTGCTGGTACCAAGGGTGTTGATTGAAGATCCAAGTAAAACAAAATCATTGAAATCAATATTTTCTCCATCTATCATGGTGCTGGTTATTGATCCAGTGGTGAGTATTGTTGTGTTCTTGATGTAGAGATAATCTATATTGAAGGCTATAGACTTTTATCTTCTACAGTAAGTTCTTTAAGTCCTACTCATTTTCACTAAACAAGGTTGTGTCATCTGCATAAAGCAGATTGTTGATGTTATTGTGTTTTGGTACCATCGAGTCAGAACTGATCCAGAGATAATCAATATATAATAAATGAATATTATTGTTCCCTTCCCCACCATGGAGTAGCTGGTGTATTGTAACAATGTGCCCTTAAGGATTGTAGTGCAATTGCTTACAATTAGGCCACAAGAGCTCCCAGGTGGTTGATCCTGGTGGCATAGTGGAAAGAAGCTGCACTGCAATCATGAAGACACATAGTTCGAAGCCACCAGCTGCTCCACAGGAGAAGGATGGGCAATCACCTTCAGTGTGATTTGTCTCTGAAAACCCACTGGACGGTTAGCTATGGAACGGTTCTGACTCTATGGTACAGTATTATGTGTGTATGTGTGTGTGTATGTGTATGATTGACACATGATTATATACTATATATCTTATATGTGATATGTATGCTTGATACATTATTTATATGTATATTAAATGCTTATAAAATTATTTTATCTACTTTGGTGGTGGTGAAGGTATTAATTTTAGTTGCTATTGAGTTGAATATGACTCATAGTGACTCCAAGAAGAAATGATCTGAATCCTGTTCTATCCTGCACGATCATCACACTTCCTCACACAAGAGCCCACTTCATAAGTCACCATGTCATTCATCTGGTCGAAGATCTTCCTCTTTTAAGGCAAATCTCCACCCTCCTGACATCACGTCCCTATCCCAGGAATAATTCCTTCAAGCAACATGCCCAAAATATGTGAGGTGAAGCCTTATAATTCTTGCCTCTAAGGAGTGCTTCAGCTACACCCTCACCTAGACTTACATGTTTGTTCTTTTGGCAGTCCATGAGATTTTCAGTGCTCTTCTCCAACACTACAGCTCAAAGGCACCAATTCTTCTTCTGTCATCCTTTTCATTGTCCAGTTCTCGGGTATATAGTAATTGATTGGAAAAATTATGGCCTGAATCAGACCCATCTTTGTCCCCAAACTGACATCATTACTCCTCAATAATTTGGAGAGGTCCCTAACTGCCGATTTTTGTAGTGAAATATGACTTTTAATTTCCTGGCTGCTGGTACAAAAAGTGTTAATTGTGGATCCACTAATATAAAGTTGTTGACAATTTCATCCTCTTCTCCATCCATCATTATTTTGGCCCAGTGGTATCTTTGTTTTCTTGACATTGAGATGCAACCATAACGAAAGCTGATCTTCTGCAACAAGTGCTGCAAGTCCTCCACACTTTCAGCAAGCAAGGTTGTGTCATCTTCATAACACAGGTTATTGATGAGGTTTTTTCCAGTCCTGATACCACATTCCTCTTCATAGAGTCCAGGTTCGCATACAGATTAAATATATGTGGGGAGAGAATACAACCTTGACACATTCCATTCTTAATTATAAAGCATGCAATGTTTGCCTACTCTGTTCACACAACACCCTCATGTTCCAGGTATAGGTTTCACATGAGCACAACTTAATCACTATTTGTTATAATCCACACAGTCAAATGTCTTTGTATAGTCAATAAAGCACAAATAGACATTCTTTGCGTATTCTTTACTTTTAGCCAGAATTCATCTGTCATCAGCAGTGATATTCCTGGTGCCGTGGCCTCTTCTAAATCCTGCTTGAACTTATGGCAGTTTTCTATTTATGTATTGTGCTAACCATTTTATAATGATCATCAGGAGTATTTTGCTTGCATGTGACAGTAATGATATAGTTCGATAGTTTCCACATTCAGTCGGATCATCTTTCTTGGGAATGGGAACAGATATGGAACTCTTCCACCCACTGACCAGACAGCTGTCCTCCAAATTTCTTGACATAGACCGGTGAGTGCATCAAAGGCTGCATCTGTTAATTGAAACAACTCAATTGGATTCCCATGAATTCCTGGGGTCTTATTTTTTGCCAATGCCTTCAATGCAGCTTCCACTTCCTCCTTCATTACCATTGACTCCTGTTCATATTGTACTTCCTGAAAAAAAATCTACTTTGTTACTTACCTCTTCTAAACTCAGCTTGTATTTTCTGGTAGTTCTCTGTCAATGTACTGTTCAAGTTTTTCTGGGTAATCTTCAGCAGGATTTTGCTAGTGTGTGATATTAGTGGTATTTTTCCAATAATTCCTACACTCTGTTCGGTCACCTTTTTTTGGAATAGGTATAATATGGATCATTAAAATAAAAATTAAATGAAATAAATTTAACTATGTACATCAAAATTGGTGAAATATAAAAAGAAAATGAGAGTATACTTCAAATCTGAAAGTTATTTTCTTAAAGAATAAAATAAGATAGTATCTGTATGAGTATATTTATTAGAAGATACAATCCATTTTATATTGACAGTTTTTCTCAAATAAATTTATGATTTTATACGAGTCCAGTGAAATTTCAGGAATACTTTTTCTTTAGAAACTTATATATTATTTCTTACAGTTATATAATATCAGTCTAGATACAAAGGTGTACCTAATCCAGGCCATGGTCTTCTTGTTACTTGTTATGCTTCAGAGAGTTGGAAAATGACTAAGGATGACACAAGAAGGCCTTTGAGCTGTGGTGCTGGAGAAGAGTCTTGAACATACCATGGACTGCCAAGAGAACAAACCGTTTGTCTTGGAGAGTGTGAAACCTAATCTTTCCTTGGAGGCTAGGATTTTGAAGCCCCTCCTCACTTACATTGAGCACGTCTCCAGGAGAGATCGGTCCTTGTATTGGGTGACAGGGAGGAAAATGTCAATAAATGAATGAACAAAAACTCATCCTTTATGTAAATTTTCACTGAAGTCATGATTTAAAAATACAAAAAATAGGGGTTGTTCTTGTTTAAAAATGTAAAAACTAGAAGTTAGATTATAATAATTTCCTTTGTGAGATTAACATATTCATATAGTATTGTTACTGTTGTTATGTTGTTAGGTGCCATCAAGTTGAGTACACCTCATAGCAACCCTATGGACAAAAGATCTGAACTTAGTCCTGTCCTGTGTTATTCTGACACTTCCTGACACACAAGTGCCTATTGCAGCAGACACCTTGTCAATCCATCTGGCTGAGGGTCTTCCTCTCCTTTGTCAAGCTTCCATCCTTCCCAACATCATGTCCTTCTCCTTTCCTTCTCTCAAAAATAACACCTCCTAGCAATATGTCCAAAGTATGTTAGGTGAAGCCACATCATTCTTGCCTCCAAAAAAGCACTCAGGCTGCACCCTTTCTAAAGCATAGCTATTTGTTTCTTGGCTGTCCATTGGATGTTCAGTGCTCTTCTCCAACACCACAGCTCAAAGACATCAATTCTATCTCTGTCATCCTTATTCATTGCCCGGGTATCGAATGCATAGCCAGTAATTGGAGACCATAGCCTGAATCAGATGCATCTTAGTCCTCAAACTGACATCACTACTCTTCAAAAATTTGAAAAGGTCCCTAACTGCAGATCTTCCCATTGTAATGTATCTCCTTATTTCCTGACCGTTCATATCAAGGGTATTACTTATGGATCCATGCAAGATGAAGCTATTAACAGTTTCAATCTCCTCTCCATCCATCATGACATAGCCTATTGGTCCAGTGGTAAGAAACTTTGTTTTCTTGAGACACAACCATACGGAATGTTGCTTTTCTTGATCTTCTGCAACAAGTGCTTCAAATCCCCCTCACTTTCAGCAAGGAAGGTGTGTAATCTGAATAACAGAGGTTATTGATGATCATCCCTCCAATCCTGATATCACACTCCTCTTCATAGAGCCTAGTTTCTCAGATAATTTGCTCAGCATATAGATTGAACAGGTATGGAGACATAATACATCTCTGACACACTCCCTTCCCAATTCCAAACCATGCAGTGCTCCCCCGCTCCATTCACACAACAGCCTCCTGGTCCAGATACAGGTTCCTCATGAGCACAATCAAGTGCTTTGAGATTCCCATTCTTCTCATATTCATATAGTATTAACACAGTTGTAAACATCCTAGCTGAAAATAATTTGCAACATAGATTTATTTGTTGAGCCTTCTTGCTGCTGTTGTGGGTTGTTCCCTGTTGAAATATAATTAAATTCAAATTCTATGACATTACTTGATGCACGTTGACTTATTTACACATATACATACTTTAATACACGTATATGCCATGTAAACACTTGGGTTTTATAAGATTTTTATCTTTTACGGATTTTATTTTGTGTGGTTTTCCATGAATATGTAACTGATCAATTTAAATTGTGAGATAATTTAGAACATGCAATGAGAACAGTGAACTCATTGATAGTTTTAAAAATATAATTTCTAATCTAAAAGTGAAAAGGAAGGTTATCATGGGTCTGTATTTATGTTTTAGGCCACTATGTTTAAGTTCAGGATATGTTTTAGAAAACACACTTTCCCATCTCTACTTTCCTAAAAAGGAAGCTGACTTAAATAATAATGAAGATCTGAGAATACAAACTGTTTCTCAATATGATTTTGACACAAACAAAATCATGAAAATATTTAATGAATTAGTTTTGTACCACATCACTAAAGTCTTTACTTTTTGTTTCCTTAGCCGAAAAGTAAATTTTGGATCATATAATAATTACATTCCAGGTAAGAATTATATTTTAGGTTTCAATACTTATTTTAAAAATTTATGTGATTACTTTAAAGAGTTATAGATTAGTTTACAGTCTTTCACTTACAACAGTAATTGTCATGACATATTAAAAGTTGAACAATGTGTAACGAGGAACCTTCATCATGGGCTTGAGGCAACACTGTGCAAACATATTGTTTAGGAACATGAAGTTAAACATATTTGCATTTGAAATATCAAAGCAATCAGATTTTTTTAAAATTAAAAAGTAGCATATTGTTGTATTTGTAAATTATTTTCAAAATTGGCTTTCTATCCAATGTGTTAGCCCTGGTTGGGGCATGATCTCCTGCTATGTTAATTGTGACATATGGACTTACAAATCATCAACAGCTATGGGACCAATATAAGATAGTGCTTTCCGCACTGTGAAGATGGTGGTGGAGAGAAGGTGAAAAGACTGTGGCAAAGTGTATCCTAAGATACCCTTTGAGATAAAGCTTGCTGGTCTAATTGAGGAAACCAGATATTTATTTGTGCTGCTGAGCTGAACTTAGACTTCAGCTTGTTAACTGAGAAGCTATCTGAACTAATTGAAGAATCAATCTTTGATAATCCTTGTTGGGACAGCTGGAATAAACATGAACTTGCATGGGTGATAATCTTTGCCTCTCCCATTCCCCAATCTATTTTCCTAACAAACCCCACAACTGTGAATAAGGTATTTGAGTCCATTTGCAATGAATATCAGACCCAAATGCAGGTAGAAATATGGACAAGAGCATGTGGGATAGCATGCCTGACCATGTAGTTATTTGTTTAATATTATGCTCTGGTGGTCTAGTGGCAAGAAGCTGCGCTGCGATCTCAAAGGCACAAGTCACCAGCTGCTCTATGGGAAAAGGATGAACAATCTCCTCGCATGCAATGAACTGTGTCTGAAAATCTGCTGGAGTGTTAGCTATGGATTGATTTCAATTCTATGGTACACAAAAATAACAATGGATGATATTGATGGGGGAAGTTCCCCTTTATGAAGCAAGTAGAAGACTCAGCCACCCAACATTACATCTGCATATTTCACTTTCTACTATAAATTCACAGTGATTCTTTAGATATTTATTTGTAAAACTGCTACAAATAGAAATAATGTCATTTACTTTCTCATATTGATAGCAGAGATTTAAAAGATTAGCAAACAAATTTGGTAGTAGTGAATCATTTGTTGATGCTTTTACATGACGATGAATTTTTTATGTGACTTTATACATCAAACTTAATTTCTAATGTAACTTTAATTACCTACTTCAAAGAACATATTTTTCCTTTATTATTTTAGTCAGTGAACTAAGTAAGAAATCATGGAATCAGCAATATTTTTCCCTGCAATTTCCAAAACCACCACGGCCAGGACAAAAAAAGAGATCAAAACCTTCTCAATTAGAAGAGAATACAATTCCTGTAAGTATTAAAACATCATAAGCAAACCAACTTAAAAGAAAATAAACTTAAAAACCAAAATGAAATCATACCATTTCAATTAAGAACTTTGTAAAATTATGTGTGTGGACATGCACAGATATACACATAATCAAACATACAAATAAAAAAAAAAGTTGATATCTTCCTACTTCAGTATTGAAATGGGGATAGTGCAGATGAGAAAGCGGATTTCATATTTTAGGTAAAGTTTGGCAACTTAGTGAGTTGTGTTGATAACCAAAATGCTGTGGATCTCTGGCAGTTTGAATCAACCTGTGGGTCTTTTTCCACAGGAGAAAGAGGGACAGTGTACCCCTTTTACAATTAATAACCTCAGAGAAATATGATAGTCACTATGTTTTCAAACTAACTTGATCAGTGGCAGTGAGTTTTTGAGTTTTAATGAATGCAGTTTAAATAGGTACATGCGGTTACTGATGTTGACAGTGATATTAAAGACTATTTAAAATCTACTATGCTAGAAAAAGACAATACCTTGGAAAGAGATGTCATGCTAAAAAGTTGGAGGGAGGGGCAACAAAAGAAAGACCCACCCCCTCTCCACCCCCGAAGAGATGGATTGACAAAGTGACTTCAAAGATCCTTCTTCTTTGAAGCTTTCTTGGAGTCCTGACTTGGACTTTCTTTGTGCTTTCTCTGCCCACATCTCTATCCTTCTTTGGAGCTTTATCTTTTTCTGTAACCTTTCTTTATACTCTCTTTTTCACTCTCATTGTCTATATCTATGCCCTTGACTTCCTTTGCTTCCTTTTAATCCTTTATGGAAGAGTTATTATTATTTTTTTTCAATAGCCTTTTCCTCTCCAGATCCCTTAGCTGTATCCTTGACTTTCTTTGACTTTCTTTTCTCTGTCACTGACTTCTTTAAAATTGTGCTATATGTCATCATTAGTCCAATTAAGATATAGGAAAACAAACCAGAAGCAAAAATAAAATGTACAATTTCCCTACTTATAAAATAATATTTATTTTATGATTAAGTTAAAATGTATTTGATATCTCATAAGGAATATTTTGTAACTCATAAACAAGGTGTTTATCATTATTCAAAACAATGTTTCAGACATATGATGAAGAAAAATTAAGAGGACAACAAAGACGACCATTATGGATGCACCGATCCTTAATGACAATTTCCGAGAGACCCTCTGTTTACTTAGCTGCCAGGAGGCAGCCATACTCCCGACCAACTTCTACTCCAAAGGACAAAGTGGAATCCACAGCTGTAAAGAAGTCAGCTCTGAAGAAGGGTAAAGATGTGGGCAGTGAAAGTGAAAAAGAAAGTTTAAGGAGAGATTCCAAGAAAGCTCCACAGAAGCTTTCCAGAAAGGCTTCAATAAAGGAAAAGAGTTCTTCAGCTACAGACACTGAAAGTGAAAAGGGGGATGTAAAGAAAGATGCCAAAAAAGACAAAACAGATTCAAAGAGGGTCAAGGACTCAGCACCAAGTAAAAAAGAAGATGTAAAGAAAGATGCTAAGAAGGACAAAAAAGATTTAAAAAAGGGCATGGGTACAAGTACAGATACTGAAAGTGAAAAAGGAGATTCAAAACAAGATGCCAAGAAAGAAAAGAAAGATTCAAAGAAAGATAAGGATTCAACCATAGCACTGGAAACTAGCAAAGGAGATAAAAAGAAGGAGAAGGATGTAAAAGATGAAAAAAAGCCTGGTAAAGAAGGTAGTCAACCAGAGGACATTAGCAAGAAAGATGCAAAGAAAGGTGGTAAAAAAGAAAAGAAAGATGAGAAGAAACCTAGTGAGGTAACTAGTGAGGGAAAGCTCTCCTCAAAAGATTCCAAAGGAGATACTGAAACAGAATCAATGGATGCAAAGAAGGACGCAAAGAAGGATGAAAAGAAGGATGGAAAGAAGGATGCAAAGAAGGATGGAAAGAAGGACGCAAAGAAGGATGGAAAGAAAGATGCAAAGAAGGATGAAAAGAAGGACGCAAAGGCAGAAAAGGATGCAAAAAAGGATGAGAAGAAGGACTCCAAGAAGGATGAGAAGAAGGACGCCAAGAAGGATGAGAAGAAGGACGCCAAGAAGGATGAGAAGAAGGACGCCAAGAAGGA